GACGGCTATCAGATAGAGCAAAATCGTAACTGATAATTTGAGAAAATAAAAATGAAGATAAAAGAGACACAAAATTTACGTGGAAAACCTCTGAATAATATAGGGTAAAAACCACGGGCAACGGTAGAAGAATTTCACTATGAGAAAATAGGAATTACAACCTCTCTCGATCTACCAAGGAGAAAACAATGATAATTCTCTCTAGATAAAAAGGAGAAAATAACTCTCAAGAAACTCTCTAAAATCTCTCTAGTATTGGAAGAAAGCTAGAATGCTTTGGGATGATTTTGAAGCTAAAGAGCTAGGGTATTTATAGTTGAAACTTAAGGACTAATCTTATAAATACCCTAAATTACAATGACTAAAATTAATTATCCCATTACCCAATTTCAACAAAAATTAGGTGCCTAATTTTTTACTTTGACAAAGCACCATTTGGTGCCTAAATTATTTAACTTTTAACACCTAGTCAGGACTTCCAAGATACCTTCAGTCTCGTGGTTAAAACTTCAACAATTAATGTTGTTCTTACTCTTACTGCTAGAAATAAATGGGAGTTACGGCAAGTCAACGTGAATAATGCCTTTTTAAACGGTAATCTTCATGAAGAGGTGTTTATGGAACAACCACATGGGTTTGAAAAGAAGGCAGTTTATGGTTCCATGATGGTATGCAGGTTACAAAAAGCACTATACGGTCTAAGGCGGTCACCACGTAATTGGTATGCCAAGCTATGTGACTATCTGATTCGAATAGGGTTTTAAAGTTCCCGAGCAGATAGTTCATTGTTTATGAATGACACGGGGCAAGTCATATACGTTCTTATATATGTAGATGACATAATCATTGCTGGAAGCTCAAGTCGAGAAATTGAACGTGTGGTTCAGCTTCTTGGTACGGAATTATCCTTAAAAGACTTAGGACAGCTCGGTTTTTCCCTTGGAATTGAAGTTAAGGCATATAGGAAGTGTGATTTTCTTAGCCAAAAGAAGTATGTAATGGAGTTGTTGGCTAAGATGCGTTTGAGCTTCTACTTCTACTCCTATGATAGCCTCTCTTATGCTCACCAAAGATGCTGGGAATACGTTGACTGATGCAAAGGAGTACCGTAACTTGGTAGGTTCGTTATTTTATGCTTGTCACACTAGGCCAAATATAGCATACAGTGTGAACAAGTTGGCTCAATTCATGCACAATCCATGTGAACAACACTTGACTGCAGCGAAGAGAGTGTTACGTTACTTGAATGGCACACTGGAATATGGCTTAATGATCACCTACAGAACATATATTTTTCAGATTACTGTCTTGCAGATGCAAAATGGGGAGGTAGCATTGATGACAGATAGTCAATCTCAAGCAATTGTGTTTTTCTAGGATTGATCTTGGTCATGTGGGGTTCGAAGAAGCAAAAGACGGTGTTGAGGTCAACAACCGAAGCGGAATATCGAAGCTTGGCAGATGTAGCATCAGATATAACTTGGTTAGATGCTTTGTTAGGTGACACGAGGATCAAACTAGATGCTATACCCGTAATTTGGAGTGACAACTCAAGCGCAATAGCGATGAGTGAGAATTCGGTGTACCACTAAAAAACAAAACATGTAGAGCTTGATATTCATTTCATTCGTGAAAAAAGTTGCAACCGAAAAGCATTGTCAAAAGACTATTTCATGATGTTTCGAGAAAAGCTTGGAGTTGTTTCACTTGAAGAGGTGAAAAAGAGTGGAAAAGTAAGGAGCATGTTGAATTTAAAACCCATAATACAAAATTACGGCCGCAACGTAACGCCCATATCATAACGTTTTTTAAGGTTACCGTGATGCAATATCGACGCAACGCGATAAGGGGACCGCAGAACGATTGTTGTGGTAAAAAACTTTTACGTAACACCACAACACGCTATAAATTGCGTCGTAACACCACAACAAACTTTAAATTATCTGAAATATAAAGTTACATAGATGAATTGTTATAATTTAATTCTTAAAATTGAATTATAAATATATATCATTAATAATATTGTAATAGTTATTTTAAAATTAATTACTTAAATTTGAATTAATTAAATTATTTATTAGTGTTATTTAAAAATTAAATTAATTAAAATTAAATTAAAATTTTCTCATATATAAAATTAACGTGATTAATTTTAAATTAAATTTGTATATTAACATTAAATATCATAATTATATGTTTATTTATTATTATATAAATATTGTATAAGAGAGGAATTCACTTTATAATATTATAATATTATATGTATTTTTATCTATTTACTATGAAACTATAAAATTTTATCTAATATATAATATAAATAATAAATAAATAACATTATAAATAAAATAAGAAAAGGAATATATTCCTTGACAAAATAAAAAAATGATGGTGTGCTCGTGCAAAGGCAGAGACGCAGAAAAACAAATAATTAATAGACATGGTTATATAATTTGGGATCAAACAAATACAAATAAATAAATAATATTATAAAAAATAAAAAATATTCATTGATAGTGTGTGTGTAAGAGACAAAAAAAAAAGTAATAGTGTGTGTGATGAAGATGGTGATAATGAAACTACGTACCAACCAGAATATGAACACATTTATTTTATTTTTTTTCATGTAGATCAAGATACGTCCTGATATCCTGACGATGATAATTCAGGTTTATATAGAATAAATACATCACAAAATAGAAGAGATGATGATGGTAGAACTCATAGGAAGATGGGAGAACACTTTTTATGGTTAATTTGCAGGTTCATCATCATACAGTTCAGCTATAAATGATAATGAAATTAGTGAATCATATCATGGTTCTCATTTTTACTAATCAAATTCATGTTATCCACCTTACCTTGAACAAAATCCAAGTTATGAATTTTTTTGTCATTATTTATCATACAATATGTTTCTTACCAATGATGTATCTTATGATGCACATAATGTGATGTCTTCTTCACATTGAATATGAATGAATCAAAATCAAGACAAAGACGAAGATGAAAATGCTTTAGATCCATCACGCCATTTATTTTGGTGTGAACTGTAAAATATATAATTTTTATATTTGTAGTTATGTATTTTTTTTCTAAGTTATGTAAAATGAACATTTTTATGTTACGATATAAAAAATTTGATATGATTTTAGTAACATTGTTTACATGTTATTCATTAACCTTATAATTGTTATTGCCCATTATCTAGTATAATAGCACTTTTATGATTTATATTTGTTTTAATAAATTTTATCTATGAAATTAAATGTTTATTTATAAAATAAAATATTAAAAGAGTATATTAATATTAGTATATTAAAATATAACTGTAAAATGTATAAATATAATTTTAGACGTATTGTGATTTTTGAGGAAGAGATCACGCCGCGGCAGCCGCAACTCGTTACGTAACGTCCGTAGCATCTAACACCGCGACATTGCAACTGCATCCGTAACAAAATCTACAACAGTAATTTGATACTATGGAAAACCGTATACGGCTAGCTGCCAACTCAGCAGCTTCAGTCAGTTACGTATCTGACTTTTATCAAGTTGTTATGAGGTGATTATTCAGGCTGTTGTAATATCCTTTGTATAAATACAGCAGCTCATGAATAAAGGATGAACTTACTCTTTTACTCTTCTGAGAAAATATCAGTTTAGTGTTTTTCAACAGTCGGCGCCACACACAACAGCGTATAAGCCATCGTTCAGAGACATGGTCAAAGATATGAAAAAAATATTACTAATGCTACGAAAATAATAACAAAAAATAATTGAATACATAAAATAAAATAATCTAATTACTGTTAAAGACAGTGCACTATATATTTGTATACTGTTATTTTACACTTTTTTCCCCTGAAACACTTCAATATTTTAAGGCTTAAAAAATTAAGTGTTTAAATTTTATCACCAAAAAAATGTTTTAGTACCTAATCAATTTTTTTGTTTAAAATAGGTGTCTAATATTTTCTCTGTTACACTTTTAGGTGTTCGGTTCGTCAACCACCTTTAAATTTGGCCATTAAGTAACATGTATCGCATTTGATAATTTTAGAAATTTTATTTAAAATAAAAATAATATATATATATATACATTAGAAAACCTAATTTTTTTCAAATCTTAAAAAAACCCAAACTTTAAAAATTTTAATTTTAATCCTTTTGCCACCACCAGTTGCCATCAACACCCTCAATCAATCAAACACTAAACAACATGTGCCCGGCTAGTCACCCTCGACCAAAAGCCCCATACTTTCGCCACCAATCGAATACCCAAAAACGACGTAAATGAAAATTTTTGTTTTAGAATTTTGAATCCATAAAAATCCGTTAGATCAATCGTGTTAATCGACCATTTGATTAGATGTGATGGTCAGTCATTTGCTGTTTGGTCGGGTGTGGCAGGGGAGGAGGAAAAGGGAGACATGGTCAAAGATATGAAAAAAATATTACTAATGCTACGAAAATAATAACAAAAAATAATTGAATACATAAAATAAAATAATCTAATTACTGTTAAAGACGGTGCACTATATATTTGTATACTGTTATTTTAAACTTTTTTCCCTGAAACACTTCAATATTTTAAGGCTTAAATAAAAAATAAGTGTTTAAATTTTATCATCAAAAAAAGTTTTAGTACCTAAACAATTTTTTATTAAAATATTTTTTAAAATTAAAAAATAATAAAACGTGACATGCGTCACTTGGTTGAGATTTTTAACGGTGGTTAACGTCTGGACATCTAAAATGATAACGGAGAAAATGTCATGCATTTATTTTTAACGAAAAATTCTTTAGAAACTAAAATGTTTTTCGATGCAAATAAAATACTTATTTTTTTGATGTTCAAGCAATCAATAATTGTTAATTATTTTATTATTAATTTTAACCATTTCAAAAAGTACATCCATCATTTCTTCTCTTGACTAGCAGACATTACTTCTAAATATTTATTCATACAACTCTAATTGAAAGCTAATTAAAAGAAGACTTGTACTCAAGAGTCGTTCGGGTATTGAAACATTTGGAACGATGGATTGACAACACTAAACCCTCCATCTATGAACAGATTATGCCCACTAATATATCTTCCCTCTTCACTTGCTAGGTAAAGTGCTGCATTTGCTACATCTTCAGCTTTAAGATACACACCCTTAAGGTTAGCCAACATACTCATCACTTTCTCGAGCTCCTCGTCGTCTTTAGCCCCGGTGAATCCCGTCGTTAAAGACGTCGCAAGAGCGTAGGGAGACAAACAGTTAACTCGGATCCCAAATTGCCCGAGCTCAACTGCCGTATTCCTGGTGTGTCCCAGCACCGCGTGCTTCGAAGCGCAATACGCATGCGATGCAGCAGCACCTAGTATGGAGGCTACACTCGACGTCAAAATTATGCTACCACTTCGGGTGGGAACCATGACCCTGGCTGCGTGCTTGATTCCTAGGAAAACACCGGTTACATTAACACTTAGAACACGTTCAAAATCGGATTTCTCGTTGTCGATTATGCGAGCCTTGTTGGCATCGACGATGCCGGCGTTGTTGAACATGATGTCCAGCTTTCCATGAGTGGCGACAGCTTTGTCAACGGCACTTTTGATTTGGTCTTCATTAGTGACGTTGCAATGGACGTAGGAACAGTTTGAGTGCCCTATGTCCTCACAAACTGAATGTCCCAGATCATCTTGGATATCAGCAATTACAACTTTGGCCCCATGGTGTGCAAACACTTTAGCAGTGCATTGTCCTATCCCATTGGCTCCTCCTGTAATTAGAGCTACCTTCCCTTCTACCTGCACTTGATGGTTCAATAGCAATAAGATGAATTAAATTAAGTGTTGTACTTGAGGTTTATAAATATATATATATATATATATATATATGCTTCATATTCTCTAACTCCATAATTAAAAAAATACAATATTTTTACCTAGATGGATCCGATAATAGGGATCTAATTTCATCCGGATCCGATTGGTTTCAACCCGTCCAGAACCAATCGAGTCAACTTTTATTTTTAAAATTAAGGTTCAGGTTAGATCTAGTTTCTTTAAGGGTGTGGTCTAGTGGATTTTGAGTTTAGGGAGATAAAAACCTAATTTGACTCAACTCAACATAATATTATATTTATCCTTTATATATTTATGAATAATTATAATAATACTCCATTTTATTATTTTTTTCCCAACTAAATCCTAGTTTTACCTAATAAAATGAATATGTATGTATATTTCAGTTGAGTCAGGTCGAATTTAAGTTTTAACGTAAAAATCGGATCGAATGGGCTCTTCCTAGACCTAGGTCGGGGCGGGGAGGGTTAATGGTTTCAACTTTCGGGTCGGGAGGGTTTCAGTTCAAAAACATAAAAAATAGTGCAGAAAATACATAAGGACGGTGGGAGCTACAATATTGCAAAACTGCAAAGAACAAAGAGCTTCAGCTGGTTCACATCTTTACCAAGCCAAAACCATCAAATCTAAACTACAGGAACAGATTAACATCTACAAATGAGAATTTGATAACAAAAGGGAAATTAGATTAGTTTTTGAAGTCTTCATCTGATGACCATCTCAGTACTCAAAGAACAAATAAGATTACAAATTAAGATATAGATATAATAAAAAAATGAAACTGAAAGTAAGAGAAACTCTCACCTTTTGTGAGTGCTGAGATTAAAGATGAAGCAGCTGCCATGGGCTACAATTCCTTGACAATGAAACTGAAGGGGCCGGCTACTTATAAGACTTCATCGCCTGCTTGTGATCTTTTAATAGTATTGGCAGAGCAACAAGGAAAGATGCATATTTTCATAAAAGAACAATTTATTTCCTTTTTTCCTAAAATTATCTCCAAAAGTAGGTATACAATTTTCTAAAGTTACTACTAATTTAAGGGTAAACCATAAATTTTATCAATTAATTTTTTCACTCTTATTTTAGTCACTGAAGTTTAAAAAATTATAAGTTACTCGCTAGAATTTCAATTTGCTCCTATTTTGATCACTCCATTGTTAAATACAAGAATGACTAGACATTTTTCTTTTAAAAAATTATGAAATGTCTCCAAAACTTTCTTCATTTTTGTGAAAATCTCCAATTTTGAATTCTCTTTGATTTGTTAATGATGAAGCATCTTGATTCTCAATTGATGAGATTTTTATATTATAGATTAAAGTGGTTTAGAGTTTCATAAGTTTTGGGTTTAGGGTTGAATTCCATGAGATTATAAGTGACATAAGTAAAATCTAAACTTATGGAATGGTAGGAGACAATGAGACTAGTTCGTCGATATCTTCAGTGGTTGGAGAAGACGTTGGAGAATTATAATTTCAACGCAGACGTGAAAGAACTTAGACAAGGATGAAATTGTAAAACTTTAATCTTAAAGGAAGAAAATAAAATCAAAAAGAAAAGGAAATGAAAAAGAGAAAGAGAAAGATTATGTGGATGACATATAGAAAAATCAGTCCATATCAGTATATATTCATGCTGTCATGTTATTCTTCTATTTCTAATCTAATGGCCGAGTAATGAAAATATGACCAAATTGAAAATTTAATCAGTAAAGTAAAAACAATAAGCTTTAATAAATAAAACAGAAATAAAAATAAAGTTGAATGATGAAATTTATAATTTATTATTATGTTAAAGATTTTACATTGTAAAACATTATTCTAAAGGCAAGCAGTGCAACATTTCATAATGAGAAAATAACTTCAGTGACCGAAAGTGTCTTATAATATACTATTTTAACCAATTTTTTTTGGATTTGCGAAAATAACCAACAAATTCACAACACGAACTCCAATTTTGCAACACAGTTTCCAAATTTGCAACGCGAATTTGGAATTCGCAATTCGATTTCTGAATTTGCAATGCGAATTTCTTTTACGCAACGCGATTTTCAAATTCGCAACACGAACTCCAATTTCGCAACGCGAATTTGGTATTCGAAATACGGAATTTTAAATTCGCAACTCGATTTTTGAATTCGCAACGCGGTTTTTAAATTCGCAACACAAGTTTCCTTTTCGTAACAAGATTTTCTAATTCGCAACATGAATTTTATTTTCGCAACTCGATTTTTGAATTCGCAACACGAATTTTAATTTCGCAACAGCTTTTATTTTCGGAACACAAATGTTTTGGGTATATAAACTACGCAACAGCAACAACTCATAACCTAAATCCCTAAATTACAACTCATTCCATCTCCATCTCTCACTCTCTCCGACGACATTTGTTCCTATATCCAACGACATCCTTCCCTATCTCTAATTTTTTTACATAATTTTATTTCTATATAATTTTTCAATGATTTCTCTCCCAAATATCAACTATCAACTTAATAAAGGTATGTTTTCCTAAAGTTAGTGATGATATCTAGTTTATAGCTCGTTTGTTTAGTAAATTAATTTACAATTTGTAGAATGAAATCATCTAATGTTGATCATGTTTGGATAGATTTTTGTTATGGAGAGTCATGGGAGAATGTTAATGGTGTTTTACAATATATGCCTTTACCCATGAATCTTCAAAAAAAACTGTCATTAAAAAAGTTAACTTATGAAACTCTAATGTTACGTGTTTCAAAGAAATTGAATTTAGAGCCTCTAAGTGGATTTAGGTAAATCTTATCAGAGAAAGGTAAGTTATTTGTTAACCGACAATGAAGATTGAACGTCATTGCTTACATTAGTGTTTCGCAAGATGATGTTACATTGTATGTTGTTGAACCTAGAAGTAGTGAAGTTGGGTTAGTAACGGGTAGTAATCAACTAAGTTCTTCAGACCCAGTTTATGGTGCTCACAATGTACAACGTTGTTATCAACCTCAAAATTTCATGGTTCCACCACAATTTCATCACCAAGAAAATTTTGTTTCACCATATTTCCAATACCAAACACAATATTAAACATAATCTCAAAACCCACAACCTTTCCCTAATCCAAATCCCAATCAACTTTCAGCGCCAAATTTTGGTTTTCGTATTGACCAGTTAGACGATGATGAGCCAACAGAAAAAAAAATGTGAGTATTAGTCAGTATTCGAAATTTGATCTTGGTCAATACCCGAACTTTGATCTTGGTCAATAATCGGATTTTGATGATGTTTCAGAAGAAGAAATAGACTCTGCGTGTAATGATTTTGATATTGGTCAATACCCAAATTTTGATGATGAAACAGCCGCTGCCGAGGAAGATGTTGTTGATGATAATGAGGAGGAAGTTACGGCTGTGAATGAACATGTTGAACATCCATTCTGTAATTCATATAACCCTAAAGAAGAAAAAGAAGAATAAGAAGTCCCCGAAGAAAGGAAAAAGAAGAAAATGCCACAGGAGTATAACTAGAATATGCCAGAATTACTTCAGATACCGGAAGAAGAGTTGGTAAAGATAACATTTGATTGTTATACAAAAGTTATTCGTATTAAGAAAGATGATTGTTTTGATACAAAGGAAGACTTGAAGATAGCTTTGTATACGAAATGTGTGGAAGATGGCTATCAACTAAAAGTTAACAAATCAAGCAAATATCGTTTCGAAACAAAGTGTAGGATTGACAAAAACTGTACGTGGCGTATGATTGCAAAGAGGATAAAAGATTGCAAAATGTTTCAAGTTATGACTTTTATTGATAAACATACATGTTCAAGAACCCAAGTTTTTCCTCACCATAGAAAGGCAAACAAAAAGGTGTTGGATGTTTTCTGGCTGAGTTAATGTTTGATGGTAGGGTATATCGGGGACATGAAATTATGACTGACATGAATGCTCGGTTCAAGATTAGTATCTCATATTCTCAAACTTGGAGAGCCAAATGTTATGCCTTGGAATTGTTGAGGGGGTCGCCAGAAGCATCATTTGCCCAACTGTCGGCTTATTGTCACAATTTAAAGCTGGAAAATCCTGGGTCGTAAGAGTTGTTGTTTATCACCATTGGTGCTACGGTTAGTAAATCAATATAATTTTGTTGACCCATTTTTGTTAGTTACATGCATTTCACATTTAAATGATTATATTTCTTGTGTATATTATTTTGTAGATTCGTTCGTTTATTACTTGCATGTGCCCAGTTATTATAGTTGACGGAGCATATTTGAAAGGTCGATACCTTGGAGTAAACTTATTAGCAGTAGCCATAGATGCTAACAATGGGATACTGCCAATATCTTACGGGGTTGGAAAATCTGAAACCTATGATTCATGGACATGGTTTATGGGGCATCTTAGGGATTGCATAGGTCCTACTAGCAATCTGACAATCATATCCGATAGGGCAAACTCAATTGACAACGCTATTAGAAGGTGTTTCCCATATGCTTTTCATGGACTTTGTTGTGTTCATTTCTACAGAAATCTAAAATCAAGGTCTGCTGGTATAAAAATTACAAATGGACATACTGGAAGGCTGTAAAAGCTTATCGGGAAGTAGATTTTAATAAGCATATAAATTGTTTAAGACATGTTTTGCCTCAATGCGCTCAAACACTAGAAGATTTTGGTTTGAAAGATGGTCAAGAGTACATCAAATTGAAGCAAGATATGGTTTCATGACGTCTAATAGTGCAGAATCAATTAACGCTCTAAGTCATAATTCCCGAAAATTACCCATTACTATGTTAATGGAGTTTTTTCGAGCCTCTATTCAACAGTGGTACTACAAGAAAAGAAACCATACAAGTATTATTTCTTGAAATTCGTAACTTATTATATTTAATAGATTTTACTAAGTATTATTTATTTAAATTTACAGGAACATTGGAACGTCGTGTTACACCATGGACTAAAAAAGATAACGAAACGTGTTGTAAGT